AAAATGCTGCTCTCGCTGAGGCGCCGGCCTCATTTCTGCTCCCGAATCGTTCCGAATCGTGCTCCCGCTGCAGCGTGGGCCTCAATTTTCGGATCGGTGTTTGGCCTCCGTCGTTCAGGATGGCGTTCTCGCCCCAGCGCGGGCCTCTTTCTCGCGCGCCCATCCGCCCGCCACCACCGCGCCGCACCACCACCACCACCACCACCACCAGCACCACCACCACCACCACCACCACCAGCACCAGCACCATCCACCACCACCACCACCACCACAACCACGCAACCACGCACGCACGCACGCACGCGCACCACCACCCACTACGCACGGCGCGCGCGGAGCCACAGGTCCGCTACGACACGCGTCCGCGGATAGAGAAAATCAGCGCCATGGTAAGGGATGGGAGGGACGGGTAGGACGTCAGATATGACGCGAGCGCACCTACCTTGTCCTCTTCCTCCTCTTCCTGCTCCTCTCCCTCCTCCTCCGCATCCTCCTCCGCATCCTCCTCCGCCTCCTCCTCCTCCTCCTCTTCCTCCTCCACCGCTTCCTCCTCCGCATCCTCCTCCTCCTCCTCCTCCTCCTCCTCCTCCTCCTCCTCCTCTTCCTCCTCCGCATCCGCCTCCTCCTCATCCGCCTCCTCCTCCTTCTCCTCCACCTACTCCTCCTCCTCCTCCTCCTCCTCCTCCTCCTCCTCCTCCTCCTCCCTCCTCCTCCTCCTCCTCCTCCTCCTCCTCCTCCTCCTGCGCTGGTGCTGGAGTGAGAGGGGGAGGATGGGGGAGGAGGGAGGGGGGGGGCGGGCGGGCAGGAACAGCACCAGCAGCAGGAGGAGTGAGGGAGAAGAGAGGGGGAGGCGGCAAGCAGCAGCAGCAGCAGCAGCAGCAACGGTCGGATTGTTTTACACCGGGTTCCAGCTATACGTGTGTGTCTATATAAATATGTGTGTTATACAGAAAAGCACACTGGACAAATAAGCAAATGTGTTGGCCATACTGTGCTTCTGAACCTGGCCCTCAACAAAATCACAGCTGTTCGCATACACATAATCACGCATGGATTGGAAATGAATTGCAGAGATGGGCAGGAATCGGACCGATGATAGACGCGGCTTCGGCAAGGGTACACCCGTGCACGGTCAATGCTAAGCTGCGCACACCAGTGCAAATGAATGGAAAAGAATGCATTGCGTTGCATTGACAGCGCAACACAAGACATTGACCCGCAGAGCAAACGCAATGGCACCGCCACGCCATAAAAAAAAACATCTCAAAGTATTGCGATGAGTTGCCTGGTAACGCAAAAGCAAGGCAGTGCGATGCGGTTCAAATCAAGGGAAAACATGTCAATGCAAAGCGATGGGGTGTGAGCACACAAAGCCATACGAGTGCAATTCAGAGCAACGCATGGCGATGAAGTGCGAAATAACGAAGGGATCCCAACGAGCCCTCGCAAATCAACGGAGTGTTAAATCGAATCAGTGACGAAGCAGGTGCAGAAATGCGGAGAGCCCCTCCGGGAGGAGGTCTCTCCTGCTCCTCCTGGCCCTCTCTGTCCTCCAGCGTATCCTGCTCCTGGCCCTGACTCCCCACCTTATGGGGAAACATCTTGGAGGCCTCGCGCAGCAATACCCAATTTACGTCGGATCCACGTCGGGTTTACGTCGGGCTCCCCTCGGGACACGTCGGATTTACGTCGGAGTCACGTCGGGTTCACTTCGGACCTACGTCGGAGCATCGCCGCGCGAGCGCTGGTCCGTATCTTACGGAACAGACCTGTGGACTAGATGATACAACTGTTGCGCGCAGCGCGAGACCTCCAGGATTTCCCTCATAGTCCGCCTACTACCCCTCCTGTTCCTCCCCCCTCCTCCACGCCCTCCCTAGGCAGTTTGGGGGACTCTGTGGGGCCGGTGTGGGTTCTTCTTGGGGCTCCTCTGCAGCCTCCCTGAAGCCGTTTTGGGAAAAGTCGGGGGGCTCGGGACGTTCTGGGAACCCTCCAACTCGTTCCTGAAAGCCCGGCGGGCGAGAGGGCACTCCAGCGCCTAGGGCCTAGGCCCCGCCCAACCCTCCCCCGCCGTCCCCCCCGACGACGACGACCACCACCACCACCACCACCACCGACCACGGACGACGACGACGACGACGACGACGACGACGACGACGACGACGACGACTAACGAAAATGACGACACTGCTGAAGGCGGCGAGGACTACGGACAACCGACGACGACGACGACGACGACGACGACGACGACGACGACATCGACAACGTCAACTCTGAAGACGGATGGCTGTTCGCCGACATCGACGGCAACGACGTGACGACGAGAGAAAGTGGACGATCCGGCGCCTGCACACGTCCCGCGCCGCTGTGCCCTCTCCCGCCCCCGCCCTCCGCACTGCGCCTGCCCAGGCGCCCAGCTCCCCGTTGTCTTACCCCTCCCCACACGCACTCAGAACCCCCTACGCCCTCCACACAAGCCCATTCCCTGTCCACCTTGCTGGCGCGAGCACGTTCTGGCGGACGTGATCCGCAACGTGGTGTCCAGACTTCCTTGTGGCCCTCTGGGGCCCTCCTGGGCCCTCATGACAAGACCTTCCGGGCCGCCTGGAGGTGGCCTGGCGCCTCACTTGCCTGGCCCTCCCTGTCCACCCTGCCGGGGCAAGCACGGTCCGGCGGACGTGCTGCGGACCCCGGCTCTGAGGCTCGACCCCGGAGCTCTCGCGCGCCCTCCGCGGCCCGCTGGAAGCAGGCGCTGGAACGGCACGGGCCGCCTCGGGACGAAGGCCGAGGGCCTCGTCTCCGATGCGAAACTCACAGAAGACATGACTTGCCGTCGCTCGGACGTCCATTCCCCGTGCACGTTTCGGTTTCGCGCGCACGGTCCCCGGTGGACCTCGCCAGGGAGCACGCACACGCCCGAGCGATGGCAAGATGGAACCCGTCCGGGGCGTCTGCACAGGAGCTTCGGCCCTCTTCGGGCGCCCGTGGGCCACCCCGGGACCACCTTGTTCGCCCTGAGGGCGCCCTGGGGATCCCGCGGCCTTCCCAAGACTCTCGTGGGATCCGCGGAATCGTCCCGTGGGACCGTCTGAGAGCCCTGTTGGGACACTCGTGGGCCCGCTCACGGCCCTCATGGGGGCCCTGTTGCCCTTCGGGGTGATCTTGGGGACCTCTGGAGCCGCCTCGGATGCTCTTGAGACTCAGAACGTGGGAAAGGCCAAAGATGCCAACATCCCAGGGGCCCCATGAATCACTCGTCGGGGAACCATAGGGAGCCTTTTTCTGGAGCTCCCTCGAAACGTCTTGGGAGCATGTTGACCCTTGTGGGCCCATCTTGGGCCATCTCAGACGGGTCTGGGGTGTCCAGAAGCGGGACGCATTGGGAACGTCGCCACCTCATCGCCGCACCATGAGGCAAGCACCACCATATAGATTGCAGCACTCTGCTTGTGCCACACAGCATGCACCACACGGTTTGCACAACATATAATTCACCATATAGCTTGCACCATCTAGTTTTCATCACATAGTTTGCACCGTTTACATAGACAATACTGCACCACCTAGTTTGCACCACACAGTTTGCATCACATGGGTTACACGACGTATATAGCACCACATGTCACATATCTTGCACCATATAGCTTGCACCACATAGACTGCACCACACTGCTTGCACATACAGGCTGCACAAAATCACGGTTTGGGGTCCACGCTGCTAAGCATGAAATCTTCAGGCTGCACTTGCCAGTTCGCCTGCCCGGGGCTTCCTGGATCTCCTCTGGGCACCTTGGAGAACTTCTGAGGGCCGTCGCACCGATCGTCGTTCGGGGTCTGGAGTCGTCTTTGAAGGCTTTGAGAGGAAGGGGTCTGAGGCCGTCTGGTGGTCCCCAGGAAGCGAAGAAGGCCCTTCGGAAGGTAATGTGGCACCTCCCTTTGGAGAGCAGCACTACAATTGTACTGCCGTGCTTCCGACTTGCCCGTCATTTGTGCAACGTCTCTCGAGACTGATCCGCGCTTGCTCCACAACCGCAACACTGTTCAGGTGTGTCATCGGAGCCGTGCACTTGCGACGTACAACGCCACATAGCAACCAGAACTCCGCAGCAGGCAGCAGTCGGCATCCCATAGGCAGCTGTTAGCAGCTAACATGACAGACGCCAGGAGCGCCACGAGTGCCAGGAGATGCGGCACGTGCGCCAAGTGCTTGCATGCTGCATCTTCGGGCGGAATGGTGTGTCCCATCGCGCCGCCATCGCGCCGCTATCCGCTTCGAATGCATGCCGGATCCATGCGGAATCTACGGCGACGGACAACGCGACGCCACGACACCGCCATGGCACCGCGACACGGCACCATGGCGCAATACCGCCGAACGGTACCGCGACAGCGGGGCGACTCTGCGGCGGCGGGGGGTATCGGACCGCCCGCGGAAGCGGAGAAGAAGGAGGGAAACAGATGCCCAGTGGTGATATAAAGAAGAAGAGGAGGAACAAGAAGATGAACACAGTAATAGCATGAAGATGAGAAGGGGCCTGTTTGACCATTGAAAGAAGGAGAGCAAGAAGAAGAAGAAGAAGAAGAAGCAGCAGCAGCAGCAGAAGCAGAAGCAGAAGCAGAAGCAGACGCGGACGCGGAAGCAGTAGAGGGGGCGGGCCAAACTCTGGAGCGCATCTTGCTCTGCGCACCGAGCTCGCGCCTCCCCGTCCTGTGGGGGACCGGGAGGCCCAGGCCTTTGCGGCAGCACCGGAAGCAGCAGAGCAGGCAAACGGACAAGCCGACGCCTGAGAGGCTCGGGTCCGCGGCGCAGGTGGCCAGCAGGTTCCACAGGGCCCTGCCGAAGCTGTCCGTGCGCGGGCTGGGCTCGGCGGAGTCCGCGCCGCACTCGTCCTCTCCGTCCAGGTATCTGGCAAGGAAGCTGTCGTAGCCCTCCGTGCGGGCCCCGAGCAGGCTCTGGGCGACGATGTAGCAGACCTCGGGCGGCCCAGCAGAGCGCCCGCCTCGGGCTCCCCTTGCAGCACGGCGAGAGGGGGGAGAGAGGCGAAGCGAACGGGAGGGCTCGCCAGAGGAGAGCGGGGCAGGAAATCCTGTGCCAGGACAACCCAGGACGGCACAGGCGTAAAATTTCGGAGGTCCGTGCGGATTTCTTGGACTGGCGCTGGACCCCCTTCCTTGGCGCACCCGACAGCTTCTGCTCATGCCATTTTTGTTCCTCCATGTTCGGCCCTCCTCCGACCTGTCGCCTCGTGTAACCGACGAAGTGGCCCTGCTTCAGGGGCGACAGAGGCACTGGCACTGCATCGTCCTTGCCAAAGGGGTTGACGCGCAGAAGCTGGTTGGCGACCCAATCGGCGACATACTCCTTGGTCATCGCTTGGGCCGGCCCCTCGCGCCCCTCTGTGAAGCGGGCATTGGCCCACCCCATGCCGAACCGAAAAGCATCTAGTATAGACTCTTCGGCCGTGCGCTTCAGCGGAGTCCACTTGAACCACCTGAACTCAGCGTTTGTAAGGAGGCCGCTCTCGGGCATGTGCTCCGTGTCCTCAAGCGTGGGGCGTGCGCAAGCCTCGGGCGGTCGAGGGAGACCTCGGGTGGGATCGACCCGTGAGAGGAGAAGAAACCATGACGCAGACATAAAAGCTCGGAGGGCCGCGCAGACTTCTCGGCTCGGCGCTGGAAACCCATCCTTGGCGCGCGGAGCGTGCCGGGGACGGCGCCGGAGGCGCCGCTGGGGGGCCCCAGCGCCGATCCAGAAAATCCGCGCGGACCTCCGGGTCCAGAGCAGATCCAAGAAATCCGCGCGGACCGTCAACAGTTTATCCGTATGAGGTTTTCCATCTTCGATGGACATCCAGCCTGCAGAATGCGAGCCCAGGGGGGGCAAACATAGACGTTTGGTGAGCAACCTTTGAGGCGAGCTTACAACTCGTACGGCACGGCAGCAGGGATGGGAATGGGGCAAGAGAAAAGAGCTAGAGAGCAAGGGAGAGAAGGACAGAAAGGCCCTACTACCCCGACGACGATGCCCGAACCTCCCCAGACATGCGATGTTTTGGTTGTTTCCATGCTGGATCCCTGGAAGTCCCGACGCTTTCCTCAGGGCTGGTTTTTCATCCAGAGTCGCTCTTTGACTGTCCCAAGACCCGACGAGGGCCCCCGGAGACAAAATTGTAGCAGCAACAACAACACATATATCCCAAACCCTCGTACCCGCCCTCTTTGTCTTCGATCTTGCCCCCATTCAGGTTATATCTTTCTTACCTGCAACGTGTAATTCGTGCAGCCCCTTACGGCATGGGAAGGAAGGAAGGGTCAAGGGGCAGGCGGGTTGCTGAAGCGTGCGCCCTGCATGAATCGCGAGGAAGTCTCAAGCGACAGCGCGATTCCGAAATCAAACATGAGGAAATCCACAGCGTGAGCGTGATTCGCGCGGCCTCTGAGTAAAGTGCAACGAAGCCCCACGCGAGAGCGCGATTTCTGTATAAGGTGTCAGGAAGTCCCACGCGAGAGCGCGATTCGGGAATACATTGAGAGGAAATATGGGGCGGGAGCCGCTGTTGTTGTAAACGGGGGCAGGGGGACAGTTTAGTGACTCTTCACTTTCCCATGCAAAGAACCAGGTGCGGGCCCCAGGAGAAGCACTTACTTGAATGAACAAAATACAATGGTTACCCGAGAGTGGGGATCAACAACATGTGGAAATGAAAATTCAACAACAGCAACGACAACAACAACAATAATAATAATTTTAAGAATGGTCACTCTTACTGGCACGCGTGTCTTGCATTCTGTATATCCCAACCTTCGATGCCCGCCCACTTCGTGCTCGATTGCACCCCCTTTCGTGGGGAATATCTTCCTTGTCGGCCACTGACAAAAGTGCGAGGAAGTCTCGAGCGAGAGCGCCGTTCCTGAATTCGGGGGCCTCTCTGGCACAACAACAATCATTTTAAGACTGTTCGAATTTACTGGCACGCGTGTCTTGCATTCCGACCCCAACCCTCGATACCCGCCCAATTCGTCTTCGATTGCCCCCCCTTTCGGGGGGAATATCTTCTTTGTCGGCCACTGACTGAAGTGCGAGGAAGTCTCGAGCGAGAGCGCCGTTCTTGAGTTTGGGTGCCTCTCTGGCCAAAGGCTCTCGGAATACCTATGGAGAAATATCAAACGGTAACCCGTGTCGCCGTGTCCAGGCCTCCACCAACTTGACTGAGTTACGAGAAAATCTCGAGCGAGAGCACCGTTCCTGAGTTCGGGGGCCTTCATGGCCAGGGGCACTCGGAGTAAATCTTGAGGAAGTATCGAGCAGGAGCCCTTGTCGTCGTGGCTGTGCCTCCGCCAACTTAATTGAATTGCGAGAAAGTCTCGAGCGAGAGCGCCATTCCTGAGTTCGGGGGCCGCTCTGGCCAGGGTGTCTCGGGGTAAATTGTGAGGAAGTTTGGAGCGGGAGCCGTTGTCGTCGTAGCTGGGCCTCCAAGGGACCACTTTTACACCCAAACCAACGCTCCAGCGGGAGCCTCGCTTTCTGAGAAAATGTAGCTGGCGTCGAGGCGAGAGCGCGCGGAAACGCTTCCGCAGATCAACAATAAATATTCTTTGAAAATAAAAATTCAACAATCGTTCTAAGACTGCTCGCTCCTATCTGCTCACGTGCCAATCAAAACGTATATCCCAAACCCTCGGTACCCGCCCTAGTCGTCTTCGATCGTACCCCCTTGGGGGCAGATCGTCCTTACCTGCCACGTGCATTTAGTGCAGCCCCTTAAAGAAGGGAAGAGAGGACGGGTGGAAGGCGGAGGGAGAAGAATGACGCACAAGAGAAATCAGCAGGAGGCGGGCAAGGAGCAGAAAATTAGCCTGGCGACTAACCCAACCATATGCACTTGTCAGTACGCATTTTACTGGGCGGGAACCGCAGATTCGGTGGGCGGGGAACCGCATGCGAACCCTGCTGCCGAGGCCCTCGGTGGAGCTCCCTATGGAGCCACAAACCGTGTGAGGGGTGTGCCGAAATGGACGCGCGGTGGGCGGGGACCGCATGCGAACGGTGGAGCTCCCTATGGGGCCACGAACCGTGTGAGGGGTGTGTCGAAATGGACGCGCGGTGGGCGGGGATCCGCATGCGAACCCTGCTGCCGGGGCCCTCGGTGGAGCTCTCTATGGGGCCACGAACCGTGTGAGGGGCGTGCCGAAATGGACGCGCGGTGGGCGGGGATCCGCATGCGAACCCTGCTGGCGGGGCCTTCGGTGGAGCTCTCTATGGGGCCACGAACCGTGTGAGGGGCGTGCCGAAATGGACGCGCGGTGGGCGGGGAACCGCATGCGAACCCTACTGCTGGGGCCCTCGGTGGAGCTCCCTATGGGGCCACGAACAACGTGAGGGGTGTGCCGAAATGGACGCGCGGTGGGCGGGGAACCGCATGCGAACCCTGCTGCAAGGGCCCTCGGTGGAACTCCCTATGGGGCCACGAACCGTGTGAGGCGGGGAACCGCATGCGAACCTTGCTGCTGGGGCCTTCGGTGAAGCTCCCTGTGGGGCCACGAACCGTGTGAGGGGCGTGCCGAAATGGATACGCGGTGGGCAGGGAACCGCATGCCAAACCTGCCACTGGGGCCTTCGGTGGAGCTCCTTATGGGGCCACGAACCACGTGAGGGGCGTGCCGAAATGGACACGCGGTGGGCGGGGAACCGCATGCGAACCCTACTGCCGGGGCCCTCGGTGGAGCTCCCAATGGGGCCACGAACAACGTGAGGGGTGTGCCGAAATGGACGCGCGGTGGGCGGGGAACCGCATGCGAACCCTGCCACTGGGGCCACCATATGGGGCCACGAACCAGGAATGGGCGGGGAATGATGACGATAATGGTGATGACGATGGTGATTCCGATGACGGTGACGAGTTTCACGATAACGACGATGATGATGATGATGATGATGATGATGATGATGATGATGATGATGATGAGGAGGATGAGGATGATGATGATGATGATGATGATGATGATGATGATGATGATGATGATGAAGATGATGAAGATGATGATGATGATGATGGTGATGATGATGATGGTGAAAAAGATAGTGACGATGATGATGATAACGAAAATGTAATGATGATGACGATGATGATGAATGATGATGATGATGATGATGATGATGATGATGATGATGATGATGATGGTGATGATGCTGATGATGATGATGATGATGATGATGATGATGATGATGATGATGATGATGATGATGATGATGATGAGAGGAGGAGGAGGAGGAAGAGGAGGAGGAGGAGGAGGAGGAGGAGAAGGAGGAGGAGGAGGAGGAGGAGGAGGAGGGAGGGCAGCGGGAGGAGGAGGAACGAGGGGCGCTGTCTCTTCAAAGCGAGGACCCAACACCACAGGATGGCTGGGAACAAGTGGTAGAACCAGATGGGCAGATCGGGTGGGCAGACCCATAGCGGGCAGCTCGGGAAGGCGGGCCCAGGCGACCAGGTCGAGCAGGCGGGTTGCTGAAGCGTGGGTCCTGCATGAATTTCGAGGGCGTCTCGAGTGATAGCGCGATTCCCAAGTAAATCCTGAGAAAAGCCAAACCGAGAGCATGATTCCTGAGCGCCGAGGGCGCATCGTCTGAATAAATTGCGAGGAAGTCCCACGCGAGAGCGCGATGCGTACATGAATTGTGAGGAAATCCCACGCGAGAGCGCGATTTGAGAATAAATTGTATATCAAGCGGGAGCCGTTGGTGTTGTGGTAATCCGGGGGCCAGGGGTCCAGCTTGAGCCCAGTGAGTTTCCCTGGTAAAAAATAAGTTGCGAGCCCAGGGGAAGCACTACAGTTACGAAAAAAACACGATGCTCACCGGAAGGAGGGGATCAACAATAATTTCTTCAGTAGTGAGAGTTCAACAACAGTAACAACAACAACAATAATCATTGTAAGACTGCTTGCTCTTATTGGCACGCGTGTTTTGCATGCTGTATACCCCAGCCCTCGATACCCGCCCATTTCGTCTTCGATCGCACCCCCTATCGAGGGGAATATCTTCCTTGTTGGCCACTGACCGAAGTGCGAAGAACTCTCGAGCGGGCCTCTCTGGCCAGGCCAGGGCCTGTCGGAATACAGATTGGGAAATATCGAACGGGAGCCCTTGTCGCCATGTCTGGGTCTCCACCACCTCGCCCGAATTAATAGAAAATCTCGAGCGAGAGCGTCACTCTTGAGTTCGGGAGCCTCCCTGGCAAGGGACTCTGCGAATACATCCTGAGGAGATATCGAACGGGAGCCCTTGTCGTCGTAGTTGGGCCTCCACCTATACGAGTGAACCATGATGAAGTATCGAGCGAGAGCGCCGAGAGCGCCGTTCCTGAGCTCGGGGGTCTTCCTGGCCAGAGGATCTCGGAGCAGCTCGCGGAGAAGTATCGAGCGGGAACCCTGGTCGTCGTCGCTGGGCCCCCGCCAAGCTGACTGAATTGCGAGGAGGCCTCCAGCGAGAGCGCTGCTCCTGAGTTCGGGGGCCTCTCTGGCCAGGGTGTCTCGGAGCAAAAA